GAAGAGAGGGCTCTGGAGAAAAAACGTGAACAATCGGCAGTAATAATCCAAGCTTCTATTAGAGGCTGGTTGGCTCGACTGAGATTCGTCAAGCATATACTGTAAGTGTTTAATATCAATTCGTGTTAGAAACACCTTAGAACACAGTCCTATACACTAGACTTGAAATGAAACCTGAGGCACTTTCATATTGCTATTTGCAAATATCATAATATGTACTTGGGAGTAGGTATGTATAATATGTGTTATTTATCGCTGTCGTGAGATTGTAAAGTGCCAGACTGTGCAAATTGATTTCACATTATTGTGCCGGTAGCTATTACTGTGTACCTATATCTATTTACGTAACTGTATACAGTTACTTGCTCAAATAACTATGTGGTATACAAAACAACTAGCTCTTTGGCCGGTTAGGGGGTTAAATTGTAGATACTAATATGAAAAGCTAAATTTATAATTTTCAGCTTCCTGAATGGGTTCAAATGAAACACATTTTTCCATTCAATGACAACTTATTTTTTCGTCTAAATCTATCAAATATTATAAAGAATTTACATCATCCTCCTGCCACGGAGTTGCGCATGTGCTGGCCAATACAAAATATGCACACAACCGATGTTTGGAAATAACACAAACACTTAAAACAATAAAATTTAACACTGAATAAATATTTACAAAATTAACCTATCTGGTAACTTAACACGTCGACCAAAACGTGTGGCAATGCCTGAGGAGATGACCTTGTCCATTTCAGGTATGTCTTCGTTTCGTATGGACAGTTCCAGACGGTACATAGCCTGTAGGGATCGAACCCTCACCCCTGAATTTGTTTTTATGCGAGCTACTCTGCTACACCCATCAGCTCCTTGAATCGTTTCAATAACAATACCGAGAGGCCACTCTACACACCTCTTTTCTGTCCCTATCAAAACTACATCTCCAGGTTTAATTGACCTAGCCTGCTCATTATTATATTTATGTTTAAGCAAACTCAAGTATTCACTTCTGAAGCGATTTTTTAAGTCGCTACATAGCTTTGTTATATAACCTCAATGCAATGAGTTCAATACTTATGTTACTGTTAGGCACTGTTAGCTGAAAGAAATGTGAAGGTGTAAGCGTAACCAAATTTTGTATGTTTGTATATTATTGACAAAATAATCAGTCTGAATAACTCTAAATATTCGTTGCTCCGCCACTCGATACTCTTCAATAGATAGCTCCCCACATTGCCGTAGTACATTCTGAACTTGTATGAAAACTTTTTTCGCACCAAATACAAGTCTGTACTACTTCCTTACTCTTATTATCATTTGTGGAAGTAGCATTTACAGGACTAGCATTCATAGAAATAGCTAAGCACGATGCAGTCGTATGCTTAGACAAGTAGTGTCAGAACGCGCTATTCTATTATATTAACGCGTATTCTCTCCTCCGATTCAACTTCAAATTTGAGAAATTCCAACAGCTGAGAAAGCGGATTTTCTTTTTTTTTTCAGTACGAAAGTTGGATCTATTCCAAGCTCTCATCGTCTCATCGAGTAACGCTGACTCTATGGATATAATAAAGCAGCATACCTGTTTTGCGTTAGGCCAAGAGACTCCAACTTGTCATTAGCTTGTCATACAAAGATCTCATTGATAGTTTTGACACACTTTTAGAGATGACTAAATGAAGTACCTCTCTCACATAATCTATAATTAAATCATATCTGGCAAACCTTTGGCGTAACTGAGTGATGGCTTTCTCATAATTTTCGCCACAAGGAGGAAAACTTCCAATGAGTTCTCTTGCTGGAGAACCTTTTTCTATTGCTTGCAACAAAAAATGCATCTTGTCATCATCACTTAATTCAAGCGCCTCATGAATTTTCCGAAATTGCGCCCAAAAACCAATCCAATTCTTCACGTGGCCGTCAAATGTCGGCAACTCAAAAGATGGTAATTTTAGGTATTTCGACTGCTTCGACTCGGGTACTGATGGAGCATCATCATCAAATTCTTTTACTGTGGCTCCAACTGGAGAACTCTCGATGCGTCAGATTTCGGCGGACTCAACATAGACAATGCATCATGCCGCAAAATATACCACCTTCTCTCACACGCATCCACGCTATCTATGTCGGCCTCCATAGCCGCCTCGTCTCTATCCTCCATATCTAGCCACAGAGATAAAATATTATTGTCAATCTCCTTCAAGACTTTGTGATGTCTGGTCAGCTTCTGTAATAAAGCGGACACCACCTTTTTAGTTCCGGCCGCGATCGCACTTTCCAAGTCGTTGGAACATTTTGAAAATAGCCGCCGTGCGACTGTTCTTTGGAATTTAGCGCGGTCCATAATTATTGGTTCGTAACCTCGGTCGCCACAAGTTGTAGATACTAAACTGAAAGGCTAAATTTATAAATTTCAGTTGAATGAATGAAGAAGAATGGGTTCAATAGAAACACGTTTTTCCACTCAAGGACTACTTATTTTTTCATCTAAATCTGTCAAATATTATAAAGAGTTTACAACATAAATCTTGCGTTGGGTGACCCGATGGCGAAGAGGGTTAAAACACTGTACTCATTATGTGAGGTCTTGCCTCTCACTACGAGATGATACAATAGAGTAGAATAATCCACAGGATCACAGGATTGACATCACAAGACCGACATTGACACCCAAGTGTTACATGCCTTAAAAATAAGATTAAAAAAAACATGAGATTATTATTGGGATGTATTGTTAGAGTTTACTTATGACACCACATCTCTGGGACTAGAAATTTATCTCTTGTGATCACTGCTAATTACCTAAATGAACCTTACTTCAGCGGCACAGTGAGCCAAAGAAAATCTTGGCCTCCAAATTCCTCCACGGTTCCTGGTTCAGAGCCTGCTCCTGCCAGCCACTAGATTTCATTGCTCCAGCGGTAACTAAGCCGTCCGACGGGTTGGCGTCCATTCGGATATGTTAAATAAGCTCTCTCTTTGCAGTATGATCCTCTCCCATTCTCTCCACATGTCGGAGCAAGCGAAGTCTCGCAGCTTTAGTTTCTCTCACAGTATTTGGCCTTGACATCAGAACTTCAATTTCCTTGCCCTCCAGCTCCCATCCTCCCTTTCAGTACCAATGAACCAATAAGAAGTAATAATGTTGAACAATAATTGAAGAATTGCAGTATATTTTTAGCTTTTGATTAAATGGTTGAAACATGAGATAGTGCGTTACAATTCATTCCAAGTTTTCAGTTCTTAATTTACGTTTGAGTGTTTTTTTTTTTCTTTCAACCGTGACATTGGCAAAATCATCATTTCTCATAATGATGGAGCCATAAAAATAAAAAGTGAAGTGTGAACTTTAAAATTATGAATATGAACTTGGTACTTGGAGTAACGGGCTGGTGTCCGCAACTCGACGTCTAGGCGCCTATTTTGCGTGTGGTGGGTGCATGGTCCTACTCGTGCCACCCAAGCTCCTCCAGGAATCTCAGCAGCCTGGTCAGTTTGTTGAAGACTTTTTTTTAGCGACATTGGCACCAAGGTACTTCGCCCTGTAGTTGGCCACGCCGGAGCACTGTAGTAGGATGTGCGCCGCCGTTTCCTCCTATCTGTGATACCTAAATTATTGAATATGAAGTAATTTCATAAGTTCCTCACAGTTGGACACGACGGCGAAAAAGCCATTTAATTAATTAAATCTGCGACAAAGATCCACACACCTAAAGAAATTCGTAAGATCTGCTGACTCAGATGCTGGAGTCCAATCTGATTAAAGAAATTTTTCTTAATGTTCGATCTGTGTATCAATTATTATAGCTAATCTATTCTTTAGACCATTAATCTGTGTAGTAGGCACCTCAACAACAGATTAGGTTTAAACTTGAGCCGGCTAGAAGCCAATTTCAATTAGGGGATATTTGGCAGGTTGGGGGGTTAAATGTCGTGTTGGGTGAACTGTTGGCGAAGAGGGCTAAAACTCTATACTCATATGTGAGGTCTTGTCTCTCACTAAGAGGCGACACAATATAGTAGAATATATAATCCACAGGGATTGAAATCACAAGGCCGACATTGACACCCAAGTGTTTCAAGCCTTACTGATAAGATTTAAAAAGCTTGAGCCAGTTAGAAAAAGTTTTATTATTTATAAAATTTGATATCAATTCCGTGGCTTTCAAGCATGATGTAACAATAACTAATAAAATTTGTAAACTATGTATACACGCCAGCACATCAAGCTACACATTGTCATATCTTGTTCCATTGCACTGGAGGCGATTTTGGAACAAAAATGTGTAATCTGGCATGCCGTTGTCCGTACATAATATATATACATAGTTTATAAACTTTATTGTAAGTCGACAGCACAAAAATTTATACACTTGTCTGCATATTGCCTCCAATGCAATGGAACAAGATCTGTCAATTTCTAGCTTGATGTGTTGCCGTCTGTACAGTAATAGAAAACAAACAAAAAATATCTTTGGATGCGAAAACTAACAAATGAATTGTTTTTCTTGTAATCACTTGGGTACATTCATATACAGAAGCTCTTGTCAAACATTGTTATTGTCAATTTTTCGTTTAAGGTGGTATATCACTAACTTAGAGCAACCCAAATTTTTACTTAAACTCAATTATGAAATCAAAGTCCCAAAATGTAAACAAAAATTAAGCAATAACAGAAAAAGATTTTAAGAAAAGTGGAAAAGTGAATTAATGCAAGATGTATATTGTTCCTAAATTGTGTGCAAATGTACAAACAAAATATTATCAAATCATAATTTTTATTTAAAACACCCTATTTAACAAGATAAGCTCAAGAAAAAATGATCCAGTGGAAAGATTTTTTATCCTATTAGCAATGTTTTGGGGATGCACAAACTTTGGCTGCCCTTTATGTAACATTTTATTTTTTATCTCGAAATGTAGGAAAATGTAATGTGTGTGGTTTATTTGCAATATAGGTCCAATCATTATCTATAGAGAAAAAAATTATCCATCTTCAGGTACATGCAGCTTTACAAGTAAGAAGGTGTCAAAATTTTAGATTTGTTGTTTATTTTTTAACACAATATACTAGTTTCTCCTTAACTTTCATGTTATTGTTATAACACTCTCTAAATTACACTAAAATTAATTTTTCTTTAGTCAAAGCTCGTGTATTTTATTAAAAAAAGTACATAAAAGGGTTAGCAATTTTGCCGCATCTATACTTACAAAGCTGCAAGTACATGCAGACGAATTATTTTTTTCTACATAGAAAGTGATTGGAACTATACTGTAAATAACCCACGCACATTACATTTTCGAATATTTTGAGATAAAAAATAAAATATATATTTCTCTTACAAAAAGAATTTTTTTTTCTCCGAATCTATCAACTTTTCAAGAAATTATGCAAGAATAAATTTGTTTACATCAGAGTATAGGAGATTTGGTCACTTCAATATCGATTTGCGAAAACTGCATGCTGAACATCTGGGCAATAAAATAAATCCAATAAAGTCTACAGTGAAGAGCACGCCAAACTTTACACTTTGAACCATTCTTATCAGATTTAATGTGTAACTGCGGTTTGACAAAATTCCTGATCACTTGAATTTTGGAACTTTTTCAGAAATGACTTTGACAAGACTCTGCCTGAGCCTATTGCAACAGGTGCTGATGATGCTCCTCATGCACTGGAACTCATCCCAGCTTTAGATGTGTACCGTGTTACCTGCCGCCTTTTCTTGGTGTTTAAGCAGCAGCGTGACAAAAAACGGTTTGAGAAACTCTGCAAATACATTGTACAGAGTTTACTCTCTGAATCTGTAAAGATGTCTTATGTTGGTGTCTTCTTGAATAAGGAGTACAGGTAAGCTGGTAGGATGTTCACCAAATCATATTTCTTATATTTTTTTTATAACTAATTATTCTTATTTTTTCATTTTTAAGCCAGAAACTATGTAACACTTTTAATAGATCCCGCATTCACAAACTAGTTTACAATTGTATAGGCAATCAATATTTTGTTCTTATATAAGACTTTACCCGATCATACAAAATCCTGAAAACAGGCTAAAGTAAAAGTCGAAAACGAATTATTTAGGAATGAAATATCTAACTTTGTGCATAATTTTTATATGGAGATATTTCTCTTTAAGTACTACAGAGAAAATGCAAAGTTTTGATTTTCAACTAAAACCCTATGGTTATTAAATTCACATTTATACCAAAAGTTGAAAATCGCCCAGTGCAGCGGTGTGACGACCGCCGCGCCGCCTTCTGCCCCGTCAGTCGCCATCGACCGCTTCTCAATGTCAGATCTGTCTCAAGTTTTCTCCTCTTGTTTCTTATTATATTTTCTGCGCACGGATTGCCAGATGCGTGGGCGCCCTCCACACCTTACCTCGCAAAATCTAAGCTCGCGTTCAAATACTTTGCCGTCAATTGTATTCTATTCTATTATTTTGTACAAAAAATCATTTTCTTTTATCCCTCAGTCTTCCTTGGATTGCACACATTAAAGACCTTCTATACAAATGCTGCGTTTACTTAGAACAAATGAAACCAGAGTCACCAGTAGACATGCAGAGTATCTTGATCTATCTACACACTCTCATAGCATTCACTGCTACTAACACCTGGGCCTTGACCAGGTCGAAGAACTTTGAGAAGCTTCGTGGAGGCATGACACAGTTGTGTGCAAATATAATGGGATCCTTATTTCATAAAGGATATTATTTAACATTGAAGGTATGTATATTATTGTTACGCACACACAAGTGCATATTTAAAAATGTATTTAAGAAAGAGTATGGTTATAATTGTGACTATTAGCGCAAAAGTAGTGTAACCCCATGAAATGTATATTAGTAGATAATGAGAGATTTAAAATTAGCTAAATTCATTTTATACTTGCATAATAATCATAATATGACCACTATGTAATTATTCTTTAAGCATCATTTTTTTTTTTCATTTATAATGCATTAGTAATGTACATTATAAATACATTACAATTTAGCCAAATACAAGACCATTAAGTAATTTACATATCAATTAAATATAATAATAATACCTACTAGTACCTAGAGTACAGAGGAAAACAAGATCGCATGACCACGTATTCGCATTGTAGCGGCGCGATTACACCGGCGCCATTCTATATCTTAGGTAGTTGATTGCAAAATTTTAAATGGGTTATAGGTTACTTAATTGCGACTTAAGATCCTACTCTACTGTTGTAGACATATGGTTTAAATTCGATAAAAGCTAGTTTATATTCCTGTACAATATCGATTAATTATATTACTAGTAGGGCTAGCATAACAGCGACTTAAGCGAGAGCAATATAAAGCGCGAGATACTGCTATTCTCGCTTTAAGATCCGCGCTTTACGTCGCTCTTGCATATCGCGCCCTGTTCTACTAGCCCTACAGACGTGATTGAGATTGTTATATGTTTTCCAATTTATATCGTTTCATATCCTATATGTTTGTGATATCTAGCTGAGTATAAATTTAGAAAAACTTCATTTTGAAATTTTTTTTAATAAAGTTTATTTCAAACTTATTTCCAGTCGCTTCTTCTCCGAGGTTTGTGTCGTGAAAAGGTGGTTCTCAAGAATGTGGCTCTGGCCGCCATAGTGACACTATCCTTGCGACCTTTGGTCTCAGCACAGTTTTCTGAAAAGTTGCTGACTATGTACATAATACAGATATTATCTGTGCCCACGTTAGTGTATCATATGCAACAGATTTCGCCTGAGGTAATTTCTTTTTATAATATCTTATCATTTTGTATAGAAACAGACTAAACATCCGGACTGTGGAGCAGGTTATTCTGAGGTAATGACATTCAAATATTGCTATTAAAAAAAAAATTACAGAACACCATACAAGTTTTGTTTAGTTTAACGACTGCGTTATAATATTATATTTAAAATGTTACTTCTCCCCCTGACCTCCAAGAGCGCTTTAAAATTTTCCATACAAAATTGCAAAATATAATTTACGCGGCCGCCAGCTGTAATTGTCACTGAAAACTCATGCTCAAGGCACTGTAGTAGCAGTAGAGCTTCTTGTGGATGAGTTCGTCCCTATTTTTGCCGCCTAGCAGTAATGTGAGTATTACTGCGTTCTGGTTTAGAAGGGTAAGGGTGCTGGTGAAATTATAGGCACTGTGTGAGACTTGTCAATTTATATCTCAAGGTGACAGGTGCAGTAGCAGTTAGTATACATAAGATCTTTGCAATTTAAAGCTCTGGATAGGCGTGTCGCTTATAACCAGGCGCACGACTTGTTCGTCTCGTCACTTGGTATTATGAAAAAAAAAGAACTGGAAAGATAATTATCTTTCCAGAACAATTTAGAACAATTGTTCTGTCATGGGCGGTGTGGTGTGTGGAGCGAGGAGGACTGGGTGCTACCACAACCTCTTAAAACAATATTACTTTAACCTTACATTGACTTTTCGTACCATAACGCGCTTAAAGTAAGCTTATTGTAATGTTAAAACTATGATGTTTTTTGGCAGCATTGGGATTATCATTCACTCAGTTCGTACTATGACGTGACTTTAACATTAAAGTAATATTGCTCTTATGTCAAATTTAGCAATCTTAAAATAGTTACACGGATACAATGGAAACAAATATTATTTTCAGTTTTGTTGTCTTAATATTGATTTGTAACGATTAAAAGTTAAGTTGAACTTATTTATTTACATATATCTCTTCAATATTTTGTCTATTTTTTTATTTAATATCACATAGTAAATAATTTTTCGTTAAATAAAAATACGCGATGTTTATTTCGTAAAATTATAACAGCGCCATCTAAATGCTCCCTGGCGACACCAACAGTTGACTATAGACTATAGTTCTGAAATCACAACGTGACTATCAAGAATCAGCTTGTTTTATTTATTTTTCTACATGAAAATGCAGAATAATTATTGAAAACAACGTAATTTTAAAATTTAAATAGATTTTATTATTACATACTTTTCTTTTTTTAACAGTGAAAATTCTCTGAATGTAAATAACATTAAGTGCTTAAACATTATACTACGATAAGACGATTCGGAACATCAAAAAAGAAAGAGATGGCAGTATATAGTTTACATAGCGTTATATCTTTCCTATTTTTAGTAAGCAATAGACAATATTGGGAAATCATTCGATCTTTCAATCACTTTTGCAATAATACATTACTTGGTTGACAGGTTCATCATAGTACGAATATGAGTAATATTTTAATAAGCTTACTTTAGCTTACATTGAAATAAGATTTTTTTTTGGAAAGGTTATGGGAGGCTCCCTGATGCTCACTCGCACTAACCTTAAGTATGTACTAAACCAGTGCTTGCAATGCAAAAAACACTTAATACATTACGTTAAGAGTGACTTATCAATTTAAACAAACGTTTAAGTTCTTAACGTTAGTGCAAGTGGACATGAATCTCGCCAGAAAATTCGCGTGCTATGATTGGCCGGTAGCGCCTGCGGCTCATTAATTAGACCGGTACGGTGTGGGAGACACCGTATAGGTACAGTAGTAAAAATCTTACTGGATTCCAAGGAGACAATTAAGACAGACGAATTAAAGTTAAGAATTCGATCATGAGAAAGATAAATGCGGAATAATTTGTGTATACAGTCCACTTACCTCGAGTTCAATAAAATAAGAGTGAAAGAAGTTACATTGAGGACTCCCAGAGGGTGGACATCTTATAATTTTTGCTTTCTAGTCAATGGCGGCGTTCCGGCAGCATTCAATGTTCGACAAATGCGTGGAGTTCCTCAGCACAGATCAAAATATGCGCATTGTATTCAACACGCTTGAAGGCAACTACGCGCTATGTCTGTTGGCTAATCTTATACAATTGGCTCATGCGGAGAGAGACCATACTTCGCCTGAGACTTTTTATCCTACTTTTGTGGTAAGTTGTTGAAATTCTTGATTATGAATTGTAATGTAATTCATATTGCTTGTCTTCATTAAACGTGTATATCATTAAAATGATGATTAACATAGTAAATTATTATAATTATAAAAATGGTTATTAACAGCATATAAATTATTCTTTGGCTTTTATTATGTTACTCAAGCGAAGCCAAAATTTCGACAAAGTTATAGAGATCGGTGATCGGTCGCTGTCGAATTGTGACTTCGAAATGAAAGTCTGGTCAATGACTGCTTTTGACATGCTAAATGGCCCAAACTGTTAGTGTCAATAATTTAGTGAATAACCACGAATGTCTTAAAGCTAAAAGTAGCTCTTATGTCCACGTTCTTGGGTGCAATTCCAAGCGTAGTGTTTAATATATATAACATACATTTTAGTCATTGTTCTCGTTGCCCAACAGTTGGTGGTAACACGCTTCCTGGACTCTTGCCAACAATATGTAGTCTGCAAGAAGAGTAACCTTAGCCACTGGCATCCAGTTCTTGGTTGGTTCTCACAGGGTATAGATACATACCTTCCTCCCACTATGGGGAACCTCCGTATCCAATTATCCTTGTTGTGGGGAGCTCCATTGCTGAAGAAACTAGTCGCTGCGCCATTGAAGGAAATGTTGGAAGCTGGTGTGAGTGGGGAAGAAGGCGCTGGGCCGTCTCAACCTTCCACTCCAGTACAGAGTAACAATCCAGCTGCTTTTATTAGAAGAGCTATCGAAGCTAGAACTAATAGGTAAGGGTATGTGTGCTAGATAGGTTTTCAGTTCCGCTTCCCGGGATGTAAAATCACTGTAATTTCGAAAGTCTGGAAAATTCTGGATAAACAAGACTTTGGAGATTACATAGAGAAAAGTAGATTTCCACACTTATAGGTTTTCTTTATTCTATATTTAGACTTAATTAAGTCAAATTATAAAATCAAAAAGTTTTTTTTTTTTTCATTTTTATAGTAGATACTTAAGAAACAAAGAGCTTTTAACCCGTCGAATGAATGGCGCTAAAATCGCTAAGATAAAGATGAATCTCTTTAGTGCCTTGCCCGGAACCCATCTCTCTGACTGATTTCATTAAAAACGAAAATAACTATTCACGTATTCAGAATGGTGAACTATAGCCTAATCCCTATTCTAAGAGGCCTTGCAGTGCGTCTAGAAAAGGGGAGGTTACTTTTATTTATTTATTTTTAATTAATTTATTATGAAATTCCTTTTGGTTTTTTCAGAGGTAACGCCCACAAGAACTACAGGAAATTAGGATCGCCAGATTGCACGAAGGTGGCCCTTATCTGTTCTATGTATCACACCGCTTTGCAGACAATGACGCAAGTAAAATTGGATATATTGACAGGTAAGTCGTCAGCATTAAATAAAACTAATCTAGTGAAGTTATTAACGCATGTTGTAGAATGTGTTTACTTAATTAAGTTTAGTTTAATTTGGTCATTTACAAAAAAATACTTCTAAATTGGTCGGGCCAGGGTGTTTCGGCAGACACTTGTTTGTAAACTATGCGCTGTAGCTTTTTTCTGTAAATGTAAATATTGGGCCATCAAACACGGAATTTAATTTGACGACTTTCGAAGTAATGAAATAAAATACCCGCAAAATTAATCATCGTTCACATAATGATTGATCGAAAGAAGTGACTGATGGGGTATTATTTGCTGATCAACGATGGAGGTCAACATCTGAAGTACAAAGTTTTTGTCCTGAGTACAAACAGCTGATTTTATGATTTAGGGTTGACAACACTGACTTTTCTAGCAAGTTTTTTGTCTCCGTTACACTCTATATTTGTTACTACAATCCAGAAAAGGGTGGTTGTTTTGCATTAATGTTGGATATAACCACCTCTATTTGATAACAAATACCATCTCAGTCAGACATGATCATTGGACCTGCAGAGTACGAAAAATTGGTTTGTTAGAAAAACAAATATAACGCGATTTTATATCCGAAATTATGGGTTTCCTTTCCAATGTGTAGCAATCGCAAAACGTAGGAACTCGATATAACGCACACACACTCACACACTCAACATAGCCCCGCACTAGGAAAACCCTGTATCGCGGGTGCCATGGACACACACATAGACAACCACAAATTACACCCAAACTCACGAGAGAAATAATTGTAGGCCATACTACTATTTCTCCCGGCCAGGGAATCGAACCTGGGACCTCTGTGTGGCAGTCCGGCATGGTAACCGTTTGGCCACGGAGGCAGTTCGATATCTTTTATTACAATTAAACTTTAATTAAATCTCTTTCCCCAGGTCTTTGCAATCAAGATGAGATCCTGTACTCCCTCTGGCAGTTCCTCTGTACCCTAGGCCAGAACTGCGGCCTGAAATCTTTCCTAGATCTGCTCGCTGTAAATACAAAGACATCAGCACCTGAGTTTCAGATGCTGATTCTTTTTGCTGATTGCATGACACACTATGTTACGTAAGTATAATTTACGATATGCGACATATGTACTAGAAGATTTTTTTCTGGGAGTCTGGTAACTCGCAAGGTATATAAAACAATAATAGCCTATTAAAGTAAAGAAGATTTCTCAAGCATAAAAAATACTACTATACACGAGATCCTCTTCTTCCTCTGTACTTAGGGCCAGAACTTCGACCTAGAAGTCTTTTCTAGACCTGCTTGCCATCGAACAAAGACATCATCACACTGAGTTTCACATGTATGAAAACCAACACTGGACTGGAAAAACAGATACCAATGAATTGTATTATCGTTGATGGACCGCCTTTCGAGTTCTACTGAAACTCTAGCGTTCAATATCGGAGATTAAACGTGTCTAGATTTAAAACAGCAGTTATGGTTAGTCGCTTATTAAAAATTAATGAAAAGAAAGAAAGTAGACAGATTTATGTGTTCTTCAAGCTGCCAGAAATCATACCGTGGCTAGAAACTTACAATTGGTGATGATTACTGAATGAATATTTTCGATACAGTTGCTATTGATGTTACGTTATCAATTATCACTTGCTTGTTGGTAAAACCATATGTCGTGATGTCAGAGAAATTTATAAGAAACTTTTTTGGGCATTTGTGTATCAGATGCATAGGAAACCAATACAGTTGGCATCGGGATGGGCGAGATACTGAATCCTCTCCTTACAGTCAATGTAAAAAACGCAAATAAATTACATTGGTACCTTTTTATGTGTCTTTACAGAATCCTGGATGATATGGAAATGTATGAACAGCAAGATCCATTCAAACTGCAGGATTTCATTAACATGTCACAGTTTTTGAATATGTTTGTTTACAAATCTATCATGGGACAGTTGTTTGGTGAGTATAGGTCGACAATCGGCTTCTCATTTTCTACATTTAGAGTACCACTTCCGGTAGTCTCCGTTAAATTGTTGGACGTATTGTTCGCAAACTTTTATTATGCAATACAGAGATTGCTACAGCGTAATGGTAGGGAACAGTGAAAGGGAATAGGGGAGGCATTTGCAAAAAAACTTGACTTCAGACATAATGGCTTTTTGCCGTAGCGCCATCTATGAGAAGCTTATGAAAGTTTTTCTTCACTCAGCCAGGTACCTTTACAGATACCAACGGCAGCCTGGTACCTTTACAGCTATCAACGGCTGCCAAGATGTCGCTTTATTTATTGCAATATTTTTTTTAATATCATAGATGTTTTTACTTCGCAATAATGAACAAAAGAATAAGGATTGACTGCCGATGCGTTCATCTTTTTTGGTTTTGAAAAATATGTCACTTGATATTAACGACTTGTCTGTACTATGTTTTTCTTTCAGTTATATTTGTTTTATTGAATAATTGTATAAGCATATATTTTTTTCTGCAAATAATAGTTTGCTGTTATTATTAACATAAAGGAAAATTCCTACGATCCGGCTGGACATATTATAAAAATTGTTCCTTTACTCCTTCCTAATAATTTGTATAGCGTTCAAGTTTGCCCTATAGAATACACTTATTTCGGGAAGTACCGATGCTGACAGTATATTTTGACCAGTTCACCATTCCTTTTATCGAACGCATTAGGAACGAGAAAGCAAAAAGCTTTGTGCGAATTAGTGGTATAGCAAGTTTGTCACCTTCAGATCTGAAAAACATCCAAAGCAACAAGCTGTTCAATGCTCTCCACACCCTTCTCCTGGTGCTGTACCGGCGCGACTGTCGCCGGCCCTACACGCCGCCCGCCCACTGGCTGGTTAGGGAAATCCGCGACGCCCAGTTCATGTGTGACCTTGATAAGGGCAAGAAGCCACAGCAGGTACGTATCGTCTAATATAGTCCCTTTCAGCACTAACCGCCATGTCCAATGGTTTTTAAAAGCGAACATTTTCCACTAAATGCGACAACCTCGAATGCTTGACGTGCTCTTCACTGTTCTGTAGTCTAGGCTCTACTCTATGAGTAGAACTACTGGCTGAGTGAATATAGTTTTGTATTTAGAATGTGTTTGAAAAAATAGGTTAGAAAAAAATAACATCTTGATAGATTTAAAAGTAGCCTCAAGAAATAAAGATGTAAAAAAATATAATAAATATCAAGTTATGAAGTTAATCCCAGTTTATATTTATAAAGTACCTCTCGCTACGCATACTAAGCTACGCCCTCAGGTTACAGTACCATGTAGACTCTATGCTCCGTCCAACCGTTTATTTTACTTCTGACAGATCGAATTCTAATTACTTAGTGATGTCCTAATGCATTTCCGATTCGTGTTTTTTATAACAATAATTGATTTTACTTATGAAAAAGTTTATAATCGGGAATGTGAGTGGATACAAAAAAGAAGATATTATCTGAGTAGGATCGTGATGTTGCGTTTGACAATTTGTGTACTCAAAAATTAATGATTAATTTTACTGAGGATTCAAGTGATGATTCCCTTTCATATGGAGATGAATCCGATTCATTATAATAAAACAATAAGAATTTATCATAATTATTTATAATTTATTTAATTTCGTTATAATTTATTAGACAGGTACCAACATTTATCAACTTGAGTAATCTTCGTTACATCATCTGTTGGCTCGATAAACTTTGTAGCTAAAGAGCACGTCGCTTCACTAAAATAAAAAAAAGACTACAAGAAGTATTGCATTTTTTTGTCTATGGTTGTATGTCAATTATTATGGAACTGCATAATGTTAAAAGTTAAATGATTGGACGGAGTATACCGGATTTATTTTATTACAATACACTAATGAGCATGCAATTTTTGAAGCAATGTATAACTTTCCCCATATTGATGTTGAAGTGACCAAATGTCCTAAGTAAAAATTTAAGTGCTCTGTTACTTATATACCCCCTTAAACATTGACTTACAAATAAATGGACGACGGGTCTAATACAAAAACCACTAAAAAAATGTCCCAAGTCAACCTATTCGAAATTTAAATTGTTATGTCATCGCAGTATCGCGCTGTCCGTAGAACAAATGAAGACTAAAGCGGAGTGTCGCGCTCTGTATACGATTTTAGCGCCTTACAAGTGCGGACACTTTTTAGCGCGGACCCGACGTCCATATAATTGTAAGTCAATGCCCTTAAATGAAAATTTGAACGATTGATAAGAGCTTCTACCTTTATACACGACTTTGAGTACTTCGATGTCCCAACGGTTTGCACTATGGGATGCGGAGGTGCCGGTTCGGTTCCTGGTAGAACCAATTTGGGAAAAGAAGTTTTCTAAATTGGTTCTCGTTTGGGTGTCCTGCGCACTGCACTAGAGTGAATTTCTGAGTATTCTGGTACTCATTGTACAGGGAATTCCCTGGTTTGAGACCAGGCAATTGGTGTGGTTGGCTAGCACATTATTATTGTTACTAATGTCGATCAATAATCCTCAAGTGTTTTGAAGAAAAGACATGAGGGACATTTCGTATATTTTTCAGAGGAGCATGTTTTATGTTTTAACGACTGTTTTAAAATATTTACGTCCTGTTTTAAAATTGAATTTTAAAACAGGGGCCTTACCATGAACTCTTGTTACTATTCAGTTTAGGGCCTATAATGAATCGTTGTGAGACAGCGCTACATGAAGTGTATATCACCATCTCGCTTTTTTGTCGTTACGAATCTATACTGAACTGTAAAAAGAGTTCATGCTAAGGCCCCAGGACTGACAAATCTATGAAAGGTCGCTTACATCCTTTCTACAAAACACCGAAGATATAATATATCGTCTCACTCCCCAGCAACTGCCGTGTCGGTGATTTTTTATCACAACTGTAACTATCGTAAGGACAATGTACAATCTTAAAAATGCAAACTTTACAGGGTGTCCCCTCATTTATCGAGAATCTTGGTGATTAATCAATTTCTTTTCTCAGGTACTAGTTCAAAAGACTCCACACATGATAGCTCACGGTGAACGGGTCCGATTGTTCAGGCGAGCAGTGGCTGATGAAAAGGTATTTTGTTTTATTTTTAACCGACTTTAAAAAAGACGGAGGTTCTCAATTTACAGTATTTTTATATATATCTATGTTACGCGATAACTCCGACATTTGTGAACCGATTTCCATAATTCTTTTTTGGTTTTCAGTAGTGGTCTCGTTCAAATTTGAAGAAAATATTAGCCTTTAGGGTTGGCAAATTAGGGGATGAATCCGGTTTCTTGAATTTCACCCCTTTCCGTTAACCGATTTTTATGGAATTTCACAAACTTTAGCGGTCAAAGTTTTTTCTAAAAAGTTACAATTTTATTAGAGTAGTATAACATTGTCAATGTATGCTTATAGATTCCAAACCCCTAACAGGTCCTTGTTTGCACAAGATACATTTCTTTGTGCTATCAATTAATTAAATAAATAAAGATGCTGCATCTCATAAGACATAAAAAGGGGATATGACGACTATTGTAGTATCAATTTAGATTGGGATAATCAAATGGATTGGGATAATCAAATGCCTTGTTTTTTACATTCATCGTCATTATGACCTTTATACCTACATTTAACTGCCTCTGTGGCCGAACAATTACTATGTTGGTCTGCCATTGGTCCCGGGTTCGATTTCCAGTTCGTAAGATTTCTTTTTTATAATATCAAGTGACGGGACGACTAAGTCTGGCGCCTGGTGATAAGCTACACGCCTCTCCATAACAGTTGCAGTGCCACTCAGAGCTTTAAATCGCAAAGACCTGAGGGGCACTGCCATTGCGCCCGTCACCCTAAGACATAACTGACAAGTCCCCATGTGCCTTACCCTTCAAAACCGGAACGCAGTAATGCTGGCAATACTGCTTGGCGGCAAATATAGGTAAGGTGGCAGTACTTCCCTGGACGAACTCTTTCACAAGGAGCTCTACTGCTACTAATTTGTATGGGCTACCTTTATTTCTCTCGTGAGTTTGGGTGTAATTTGTGGTTGTCTTGTGTGTGTTCCATGACACCCGCTATACAGAGTTTCCCTAGTGCGGGGCTGTGATTGTGTGCGTTATTATTATTTTCACCATAGTGTCGTAAAAAAAAATTATTGTCTCTTAAAATTTGGTTTCATTTGGTGGTCATTTGGTTGAAGGTGGTCCTAGGCCTGACGGAGCGAGCTTGTGGTGGTCGGTCTACCTTAGTAACCGTGCGTCGAGCGAGACTCGTAGAAGATGGCTACAGGCAGCTAGCAGCGCTGCCCAGCAGGGCTTTGAAGGGTGTCGTTAGAGTCCGCTTCATCAACGAACAGGGGCTGGATGAAGCGGGGATTGACCAAGATGGCGTGTTTAAAGGTTAGTTGAATTTACATTACAGGCGTTATAGAATACCTAAGAATCCTCGAAAATGCCTGCGAGAATATGCATATGAAAAAAAAAAGCCACATGGAACGCTATGCGCATCTGAGAATCTATATTCAACTATAATTGAAAATCACGTTCGTTACGCCGTTTTGTCAATTTCTACGGTTGACATATTTCATAGGCGACACACGGTCATGGTTAATCAAGTGACTTATTCGTAATCACAAATTTAATTTTGTATTGAATTGATATTCAATTATTTTTTGGGAAATTCCGCCACTAGTTTGTTATAATTATTAATATAAAGATCGGAACGAATCAAACAAATACAGAGATCTGACAACAAGCACGTTGAAAAATTCGTGAGCCTCGCTGGTTCGTTCCATAGCTTAGTTGGCATATTGTCTTCTAGCATAGTTTGCTAGAAGACGTCGGTTCGAATCCGGCCGCATCGACAGAATTTTTTCTAAGTGTTCGATCTTTATATTAATAATAATCACAAATTTGTCGATAATTAATAATCACTTTCTAACCTAAAATACCCTAGAGCTTCAATTGTAACACTTTCAAGTATTCCTCTCGTGTTCGACAAGCGTTAATGACAAATATTCATTCATTTTCATCAATCATCAATCATTTATACACCCCACTGCTGGGCACGGGTTTCGACCACAACTTGCCACGCCGTTGGCCCAACGGGAGTTGGGGACTTAACACGTTTTCTGAAGCTTGTAAACTTTCAACGTGCAGATTTCATCATTTCATCACTGATGTTTTCCGTCACCGAAAAGCTCATGACAAACTTCAAACTAGGTCAAACCATTAAGCTGCCATGGCTTATATTGACAAATCGACCCCATCTTACGTAAAGTATCGTATGTCGAAATTGCCGAGTTTACAGGGGAGCATAACACGTGAATTTAGCATTTCTCAGTTTTATTTGGCAAAACTCGTTACTTACATAGAGTATTATAAAATCCTAGATATTGGTCAGATGATCTACAATTATCTATTCAATATCGAGTTCTTAGGTTTTCGCGATTGTTACACATAGGAAATGAAACTATTTTTCCGGATTTAAATCGCGTATATTTGTTTTTTCAAACAAACCGACGTTTCGGGCCCTTTACAGGTCCCATGGTCACGGTTGACTGAGGTGGTGCAGTCTTCAACCAGTTATGTCTAATATTAATGCAAACCACCCTATTTTTTCACTATAGTTACAATAGTTATTAATTAAATACCTTATTTTAATTTTACAAACAAAACATTCCAATTTACGCTACATTAAGTTTTACAAATTATTTTATTGAATGAATTTTTATTAAGTTTAATTTATTATTAATTATTAATATAAATTAGAATAAACTAAAACATATTAATTAGTACTGCAGTCTTATGTCTGTTTGGGATTTTTCATTAGAGGAAATACTGGATCCCAAACTGGTGGTACGGAGAAACCATCTTCCCTGTTGAAATTAGGATGTTTTTTAATTTCAATGGCCTCTCGCAGCATCCTGGGTATGTTTTCCGTCACTGCGAAGACTGCACCACCTCAGTCAACCGTGACCATGGGACCTGTAAAGGGCCCGAAACGTCGGTTTGTTTGGAAAAACAAATATACGCGATTTAAATCCGGAAAAATAGTTTCATTTCCTATATCTATTCAATGATCACTCTTTCAGTGAATTCAGAACTTTAAATCGCTCCCCTATAAACTTGGCAATTTCGACATACGATACTTTACGTAGGAGGGGTCGAAATATAAAATTACAAACTTTTCAAAAAATATTACAAATTCATTTCAATTAATAATAGAATATCATGGTGGTGAAACAATCTTTGTTACATTCAATAAAAATTTAATTTAAATTAAATTTACTGTTTCCAGAATTTTTAGAAGAAACAATAAAGAGAGTGTTTGACCCATCCTTGAATCTGTTTCGGGTTACGAGTGAAGAAAGACTTTATCCATCTCCAACGTCTTGTCTGCAAGAGAATCACTTACAACTATTTGAGTTCATTGGTCGGATGCTTGGAAAAGCTGTTTACGAGGTAATTATTATTACTTTTTGAAGCTAAGTAGCGGGTCGAACAAACCATGCGCCTGGTGGTAAGAAACACACCTGTCCATAACAGTTGTGATGCCACTCAGAGCTTAAAATCACAAAGATCTGAGGGACACCGCCACTGAGCATCCTAAGATAACTGCTTCCGTGGCCGACCGGTTACCATGCCGGACTGCCACGCAGAGGTACCAGGTTCGATTCCCGGGCCGGGAGAAATGTTTGTATGGCTTACATTTATTTCTCTCGTGAGTTTGGGTGTAATTTGTGGTTGTCTATGTGTGTGTCCATGGCACCCGCGACACAGGGTTTCCCTAGTGCGGGGCTATGTTGAGTGTGTGTGTGTGTGTGTGTGTGTGTGTGTGTGTGTGTGTGTGTGTGTGTGTGTGTGCGTGCGTGCGTGCGTGCGTGCGTGCGTGCGTGCGTGCGTGCGTGCGTGCGTGCGTGCGTGCGTGCGTGCGTGCGTGTGTGTGTGTGTGTGTGCGTTATTTAAGATATAAATTCACAAGTCCCATGTGCCTGTAATTTCACCAGCACCGTTCAAAACTGGAACGCAGTAATGCTTTACTGCTTGGCATTAACTCTTTTGCAAGGAACTCTACTGCTACTAAGCTGAAAGATGACGACCGATTAACGCCTAACGCAGCGTTGACCAAGTCGACCATATTGCAGCGTTATAAGATTTACTTTAGTTTCTTATAACAAAAAATGTGTTACGATAAAAAACGAATTCCACAAATTCTACAACAAAGAGCTCTACTAAACCGGTATCGTAAACCACACTAAGGGTTCTAGTACTATCCATAGTAAAATCTGTTTTTTTTTTTACTTGCGCAACATACACGTAAAATAAATGAAAAATCTGATTGAATATATTTTATTGTAGTTACGAACCAGTCCGAACGACCACGAACGAACGAGACGAACCAGTCGTGCGCCTGATGATAAACGACACGCCTGTCCGTAACAGCTACAGTACCACTCAGAGCTTTAAATCACAAAGGTCTGAGGAGCACTGCTATGAGATTTTAGTTGACAAGTTCCATGTGCCTGTAATTTCACCAAAAATGTAATAATTTGGAAAATACAACTCGAAGGCCCATATTATGTTCTGCGTTTAGATATATCTTTTGAAGATTTATTTAGCGTGAATTATGAAATAAAATTGTATAGCTAAAAGAAGGTTAGAGTACAACGAGATTTATAATTAATGAACAACAGCGCAAAAAAAATCGTACGTAAGAAAATCTTTATAATGGCTCCATCGTTTTCGTTCAGTATCTTCAACTTTTGACAGTTGTCAACCATCGAAATTATTACAAATTTTATTTAAACAAAATAACAAATTTTTCCATGACTCAACACTAATTACTTATGAACTTCATTCTGGGTTTCATGTTACACTGTTAGACACTAATTGCAAATATTAAACGCACTTCTGTTTACTTTTTCAGGGTATAGTAGTAGACGTGCCGTTCGCGTCGTTCTTCCTCAGCCAAGTATTAGGGCAGACGCAGCAGGCGCTTTACAGCTGGATCGACGAACTGCCATCGTTGGACCGCGATTTGTACAGAAGTCTTACCTATATCAAACACTTCCAAGTAAGTGTTACCCTTGTAGCACTTGTAGCCTTGGCAAAATTAAAGTGAAGGCTCGGTTCTCATAATTTTTGTTTTAGAGGTAGAAACAAAGAAAAGGTAAGAAAAGGAGAAGGAAAGGCTATAACAATGGTATAAAAACAGAGGTACTGCGCTATAAAACACTCCCTAACCACACCCCGGACACTTCATACAACGGTCGAAAGTTATTTACCTACTGCTACTACATACAGCAAGGCGCAATCTGCAGACGCGCTAATGTGCGCGTAAAAATGGCAGGGTTATCCATCACTTTCTCGTACTATTTTACGTTACGTGGTGAGAGCAGCAACGTAGCGAAAATTCTAAAAATATTTTTCATTAATTCACTAACTAGAATAATATTGAAGATTTATTTTAAAAATATATTAAAAGCACTTAAAATGTTATATTTTGGACAGGTACTTTTAAATAAGGTAACCAAAGTATTTGAAATTGCGTGTCCAAGTTTATCATTACTTAGTTAATAATTAAGTATATTCACTACATAATATTTATCGGCTATACAAATTGAAAATTCGGAAATCCTTGTCTTCTAGCTCAGGAACTTATGGCGTCTCATTATATTGATGTAATAAATCTTTATTATATATTACTTTGAACAATAACTGAATGACCCTCAGATTTAAGTTCTTTTTACTTACTTCGTTTCATTTTTCGGAAAACGAAAGAAACTCCTCTCTTTATCCCGTTTAGATGATGATAAACAGCCGCACACAGCACAATTCAGGACTATTATAAATAGTAACGTACAATGATGTAATATATTAATGTACAAGTTTCGTAATGAATAAATGAAAACTATATTCAAATATCAGACAGCCTTGTTGCCGCTCCGTCAATGTGACGATCAATGTACGGGGCGTGGTGCAGTATCTAAAGCTAGGGAGGGGCGGAGAGTTTCCATTCTCATTACTTTTTATTCTCTGCCCTAACTTAAATTACATACGCATATGCTTATAAATGAATGTAGACACTTACCCCAAAAAGGCCTGTATTCCTATATAATATTGCACTTTCATAAGCCGTTAGGTTTACATAATTAAAGGACACGTCTTTTCGAGAATTTTGATGAGAGAACGATTCAAAATTTCAAAAGTAAGTGACCAAAGAAATGGGTGACAAAATGGTGGGACGACGATGAAAGAGGTCATATCGTCACAAGCTTAGTGAGCACATGTTTTCATCGTCAGCTTCCGAGGTGTCACTGTCCCACAAGATGATCCGACCAAGTCTGTACAGCTCTCGGCATGAGTCTCCATGATGCGCGCACCAAAGATCGCCACTGTGTTGTCATGCTAAAACTGTTTCTGCGAGAGAGTCACGACTCTCAGTAATGAGGAATATGACACTAGGAGAAGTTTTCATCGTCCATCCGTTATACGTCCCACTGCAGAGCACAAGTCTCCTCTACGGAGACGGTTAGTAGAGACTTCACACGTTGTCCAAGAGCTATGAACCTTTTGTTAAAGTACAGGTTTCAACGCGAAGATTTTCTTCACCGTTAACTAGAGATGTTGCGTTATACATGTTTTCACTGGAAATTAATATTTTCAGGGAGATATCTCTAGTTTAGAACTCACATTCTCCGTAGACGAGGAAAGATTGGGAGAGATCGTCACCCACGAACTGATGCCCGGTGGTAAAGCTATCCCAGTCACCAATGAAAATAAGTGAGTTTAAAATTTAGATTACGCTTAACACAAAATAACAGTGTCCAGAATATTTCCTTCAAACCTAAAAAAACATACACGATTTAGATTTAAAAAAGTTAAGTTTCAAATATGTAATAACTGCTTAAACCTACGAACTCGATTTGGATATAATGATTAGAAAGGTGAAAAAGGACTGCAGCGGTTTTCTACAATGATCTGTTACAACAGGTTAAATAAAAATGACCTACTATACGGCAAATTTTTATAAAACACCTGTTATTATTAAAGTCAATATTTCTTATTTCAGAATAAACTACATCCACCAAATGGCCCACTTTAGAATGCACACGCAAATTAAAGATCAAACAAATGCCTTCATCAAGGGCTTTAGAACCATCATCAATCCGGAATGGCTCTCACTGTTCTCTACTCCTGAGGTAAGTTCAGTTACTGAAATTTCTTGCTGACCATCTTTAAAGATAATTGTATAAAATATTTTTATTTACTTACTATATTTAAACTCAAACACAAATAATATTTATTTCATAGATAACGTCGGGGATAGTGCAAATCCGCGTATGTAGCATTGGTAGAAATTTTACTAGAGAATGATTCAACGTCGTTACTTTGTTATTTCAATGGCTACGGCGTTCAATTTTCCACGGACTGATAACGATAAATTGCCGTAAGTGACGGTAATTTGGTTGGCACAACAGTTACGTGTATTTGATTTGGCCACTAATTTACCGAAATGGAAACTTATAATCTAATGCAAGTTACGCGTTATTGCACTAAATTACACTTGAAGTAGTAACATTGATTAAACTTAACGTAAAGCTCCTTGTGAAAGAGTTCGTCCAGGAAAGTAAGCCACCTTACCTATTTCCACTGCCACTGCCATAATAAAAAAAAGCTCTACTGCCCTTTCGTAAGGCGGACTCCCCTAAGAAGCATGAGTAAGAAACTCTAGGGGTTGCCCTTTGTAATTATACATTTATCATTTACAATATTTATTTAAAATATTGTAAATGATAAATGTATAATTACAAGAGTACAATTAAAAGAGGTCCCGGATTGGATTCCCGGACCGAGAGAAATATTTCTAAGACCTACATTTATTATTTCTCTCGTTTCGATTGTCTGTGTGTGCCCATGACACCCGCGATACAGGGTTTCCCTAGTGCGGGGCAATGAGTGTGTGCGTTATGACTAATTACAATTCAATACAATGCTGACACCATAGGCGAAGTTGACACATTTAATTTTCTTGGATTAAAAATTGACACGCATCTAAGCTGGAAAGAACATGTCGAGCAGATTTGTATGAAGCTATGTAGATTTGTTTTGGCTCTATGAAGATTAAGGCAAACTATCTCTCGAGAAGCAGCATTGACGGCGTATCACGGCTACGTTTCGTCTGTGCTTAGCTACGGTTTTATACTGTGAGGCAGTTCAATAGTCGTAGAAAGTGCGTTTAAGGTTCAGAAGAAGTGTGTTCGGACGATCTGCGGTGGGTGACTCGACAACAGCTGTAAACCGCTGTTCAAAAAACTAAACATACTGCTTTTGCCACGCATGTACATTAGGGATATCTGTGTATTTGTTAAAACTTATTCTCAATATTTCAAAACACGTGGTGAAATTAATCAAAGGCAGACTAGAGGAAAAATTATGAATCTTTTGTACCAACCTCGTTGCCATAAATTAATTTATTAGAAAAACTGCTTCAACATTTGTATAATTATTTACAACAATCTGCCAAATTAAATTAAATTGTTGCAAGGACATACTTTTAAATTACAATTGACAAAATGGCTTTTGACACATTGCTTCTATAGTAATAAAGAATACTTAGAATTTCCAAATAAAAATTTACATTAATTTGAAGTGTAATTAACAGTAGAAACCAAACATGAAATTAATATTTGTACATCTGCTTGCAGGTTGAATACAATATACCTTATTTTATTTAAGACCTTTATCATTACTGTATTCTGGCAAATAAACGTATTCTATTCTATTAACTTATTTAATTTATATAATAATTAAATCTTCTACCTTGGAATAATAACCTTTATGGCTTCTTATTCATTCCTCACACACCACCTTATCTTAAGGAGCGATTTGAATTCGCCCATCAATCCAACCCCCGACTTCTGCGCTCATCTTCAACTCTCCAACTTAAGATGCCATTGCATATCTCCCAGTATTACGACAAGTCCTTTAATGTTCAAGCTATTCGTTTGTGGAACGCATTACCTTTGTTTATTCAACAAGCGAAATTATTGAATATATTCAGAAATATGGTAAAAGAAAACTACCTAACTTTAGTGTGACTTGAACTGCTTAGGTCTTTTTATGTCATGAAATTATGTTTTAAAAATTTTATATTAATAGATGAAAGAATATAAATAGTAGTTACGATATTCATATATATGTATTGGTTTTATTATTTATAAATATATGTATACTTGCATTTATTTATCGATTTTGATCTATTGATTAGTAATTCTTCATACACCGCCGTCTTTTCTATGAATTATATAATTACTTCCATCCAAAGGTTGTCTTGCAGAAATCGCTTAAAGCGATAAGACAGCCCATTGTATCACCGCTTATTTTTTAATTTGATTGTATTGTATTTGTTTCTTTTTTTGGTGTACAATAAATAATTTCAACGCGTACGTTATAAATTATAAATAATAATCAACGTTTCGGCCTCTTTAGAAGACCCTTGATCACAGCTGACTGTCAGCTTAGCCCGATGCGTTGGTTTTGTATGAAAAAGCAAACAGATGATTTAAACAAGAAAAAATATAGTCATCTCCAATATTAACATATAAAGTTTTGTTTTATAGTTACAAAGACTGATAAGCGGTGACAACGTGCCACTAGACCTGCGCGATTTACGACGGCACACACAGTACTACGGTGGCTTCCACGACTCGCATAGGGTGGTTTGCTGGCTTTGGGACGTGCTGCAGCGCGATTTTACTGAAAACGAGCGCGCTATGTTCCTGAAGGTGATTAAATATTTATACTTCTTACTATGGACCAATAACTCTAGAGGACTGCTAGTCTCCACATTACAGATCGTAACTCTGAAAATGGTCAACATTCCGTCTTATGTCTAGATGGCGCTGATCGATAGCCTGGAAGCAGCTTAAATTATGTAAATGGCTGAGAATATCAATTAATTCCTCTTTAGTATGAGATATAAGTGGGCCGTTTTTTTTTTCTCGTAATATTATTCAAATATCGATCATTAGCTAAAATTATTTTCAGTACTTTGACAAATATGCGAGTGGTTACGGACTAATTTGAAAGTTAACGCTTGCTAACATGGGTAGATGGCGCTAACCCTAAACAAAATAAAAGTTATCCGTCAGTATCCAAATGTATGCAATAAGCCCCATCTAGTTGATTTGTTTGTTATCACCAGAAATTAGAGTAGCATCGATAAATCGTAGGTTGTCAATGTAAAACAAATTAATTACAAAAATAGGTATATGGTACTCGTCGCGACATCTGGTGTACCAATAGGTCTACTAAATATACGACTACGTTGTCTTGTACAGTGATTCAAATTAGAAGTCCTCTTGAGTTAATACTTGCTCTTACTGACCTGTTCATTCCTCAAAACAAAATCATTTTCAATTGTCTGCCGGTTCGATTCCCGGTAGAACCAATTTAGTAAACGGAGATTTGTAAATTACTACAGATCTAGATGATCTGCGTGGTATCTAAATTTCAGGTAATACATGTAGAATGGATTGTACCTCTGAAAAATACTAAAAATAAAAGGAAAAAATTCTAAACAAAATGGCTTATATTCTTACTTATAGTTACAAAATATTTTTTACACATCATATATATAGACCAGAATAATTTACAATGATTCCGGGAATTCAGAGGGAGGTATTATATAAACTTAATTTATCTATATTGATTAACGTGACATACTAATGGTACTTTAGAGTAACCGGATAATATTGGTTGGAATATGCTTGTAGATGGTCATTATTTGAACATTGTTTACAATTTAGACCTTACGTCTATGGAATGGAAGCGTCAAATGAAATCACCCTGATAGATATTGTAAGATATAATAATAAACAAATACTTCCACCATATAACCTCTTCGTATATTTAGATGAAAGCCAAACAAACTCTACATATATTGTACTGCATATATTTCAACCAATCATATTTTTTTTATGTATAAAGATTTATGACCCGATGCTTTTTGGCCAATTTATCCAGCCAGGAGGCAGTATAGCATTTTAGTAGCGTCCTAATCATTGACTTACAAATAAATGGACGACGGGTCTAATACAAAAACCACGAAAAAAATGTCCCAAGTCAACCTATTCGAAATTTAAATTGTAATGTCATCGCAGTATCGCGCTGTCAGTAGAACAAGTGAAGACTAAAGCGGAGTGTCGCGCTCTGTATACGATTTTAGCGCCTTAAAAGTGCGGACACTTTTTAGCGCGGACCCGACGTCCATATAATTGTAAGTCAATGGTCCTAATTGATATATTTATTAGCAAAAACACGATATGCTTTTTTTGAAACTATAGTTCTGAGCTTTTTCAACTCAGTGGTGAGTACCATAGACAATAGAATTTTGACAGAGAACTAAAAAGAGCTCCTTTATGATATGGTTTATGAAATTATAATTTCATAAACCATATTGACAGATGAAAGTACAGGAGTAGAAAAATATATTATACTCACGGGGCTTATGGCCAGTTACTTCGTCAGGGGCTTGAAATAGGTCTTTATAGACACACGCCTAAGAATTCTTCCGATCTTGTCTGTAACACCTCGCAAGTTAATATGGCAAATCTCCTAAGTATACTTCATAATTTATGGGTTAAAAGATCTCTAAACAGAAAGGTTATAAGTCAAACTCAAAGTCAAATAATCATTTATTCCATAGATAAAATATTTACACTTGAAAACGTAATTTTTTTAAGCTACTGCTCGTTCACTATGCTGACCTTCCAAAGAAAAATAAGCTAGAAACTCTAGGGATTGCTCTTTTCAAATAAACGTAAATGCTATAGAATTCATTTTGAATCATATTTGTGTGGAGTCTAGACTCACGTTGTCTTTCCATACGTCTTTATCTAACACGTAATTTACAATTTTGTAATATGACTTTTCAATTAGAATACTTTTAATGTAATTTTTAAACTTAATATATGCTCCGGAATCTTATTGTAAAAACGTATACAGTTCCCCATAAAATAATCATTTACTTTAGTTAAACGAAAACGTGGTACCATGAGTATGGACTTAGTTCTAAAGTTAATATTATGGACATCTTCTTTTTTAACGAAGTTATGTATATTTTTACGGGCATACAAAATATTTGAGTAAATTTACTATGTTGCCACAGTCATGATACCAGTCTCCCTAAACTTTTCTCTAAAAGAAATCCGATAACCTAAACAGTACACAGAACGAATCGCTCGTTTTTGCAACACAAATATGGTTTGTATATCTGCCGCTTTACCTCGCATTAGAATCCCGTAGGACTATGGAAGTAACTAAAGTAAACTAGTCTAGCAGTAACAACATCGGTAAGTTCATGTATTCTACGGACTGCGTATGCAGCAGAGCTTAATCTGCTGGCCAAGGAAGATATATGTGAAAACCATTGGAGTTTACTGTCTAAGGTCACTCCTAAAAAGACAGCTTTATTAACAAAGTCTGACTTTTCTCCATTTATTTCTATGATTGGGCTAGTCGATTTTATATTAGGTAATTCAAATTTAACACACTTTGTCTTGGCATTGAGCAATAAAATGTTAATGTTAGACCAATAAACTACCTTTTAAAAAGGGTATCATTAATATTGTCATAGCTAACGTCATGTCTGTCTGTTTTAAAAGTCAAGGATGTGCGTGTCAGCAAATAATGCTATTTCGCAAAGGTCCTTAACAAATGTAAAAAAAAACAAGGAATGGTAGATCATTAATATAAATGAGAAATAAGAAAGGTCCAAGTATTGAACCCTGCGGAATACCCATTTTTATCGGAGAACCCAAGGAAGTCACTCCATTTATATCTACTTTACGTTAAAATATGACGAGACAAGTTCCAACGCCTTGCCACTTACTCCGTAATATTCCAGCTTCTTAATAAAAGTAATATGATCCACGCACTCAAATGCCTTTGAGAGGTCACAGAAAACCTCAAAAGCGTTCTGGGACCTTTACCAAGCATCAAAGATATGTTTTAGTAGTGCTAACTCCGCATCGCTAGTCGATTTACCACTAGTAAACCCATATTGTTCACTATGAAAAATATGATTCCTACCGCAATGCGACAGTAGTTGAATCAACATAACTTTTTCGAATATTTTACTTAAAGCTGATAGAATTGAAATGGGCCTATAGTTACTAGGATCACCTTTCCTATTGCTTTTGAATAAAGGAATAAATAACCTTACTATATTTCATCAAATCGGGAAAAATACCTTCGTCGACACACCTATTGAATGCATCAGCTAAATGTGGGGCAATTAAATGAATTACCGAGTCTATAACTTTAGTCGATATGCCCCAGAGATCTTCAGTTTTTTTAACGTGTATACATTTAAAAGCTTTAATTTTTAATGAAACATTTTTGTTTAGGAGATCAATAGCAAAAGATGGAGAGGAATTTTATGATTTTGTAGTGTTCACGGCGATTCCCGAAAAGAATGATTGAAAAGCTTGGACTACCTTATCTTTTTGATCTTTTTGATTTAATAAGTTTGCCATCTAATTCTAGAACTATATCTCTATCATGCATCAAATATATATTTTTCAGTTCGTCACATCATGTTCCAAACCACCAGTGCTGGGCTTCGCGCATCTCAAACCACCGTTCTCCATCCGTTGCGTCGAAGTTGGTGATGACGAGGACACTGGTGATACGATAGGTAAGAATCTTAATATTAACTTATAAGGTATATTTTTTATTAGCCCGAAATGAATTATGATGTCATATTTCAATATAGATATAATATGATTGTAAATAATTAAGATCGAACACTTAGAAAAAATCCTTCGATCCGGTTGGATTCCAACCAACAACGTCTTCCAGCAAACTCTGAAAGACGCTATGTCAGCTACGCCACGGATGAGCTAGCGAACTCGACGCAGCGCGAGCCTGTGATACCACAACCGACTAACCAGATCGAGTCAGCAGGATTATTGCACATGTTTATGCTGGGTTTAAACTGCTTTTTTGCTGGTTGGATTATATGATATATACAATGTTTTTTCTTCACTGGGACAGTATGGGGAAGTCCGAAACTAAAAGAAATACAGGGAAACTGTCTTAGGAACCTTTAAGTGTTTTTTGTGAAAATAATTTTGGCATAAAAATTAATAAAATAGATTTTTTTGAGTGTTTTTGATTCAGTTTCATTGTATTAAAAAAACGCCATTTTTCGGCGTCGGGAAGTGAGCGTGTCTCACAACTCCGTTTACTTTTGATTATAGTTGATTTGACTTATAGTTGACGGCTTAGCGGTAGCAACCGTTAGAGTGAGTACAGCTCCGGTACCTATCTGGAAAATGAGGAGGGTGCTGTACGTGCACCCGCGGATGCTCACCCAAGGCACTAGCCTTTTGAGAACCGGATGAAGTCCGTGTAAAATCCGGGCTGGTCTGGGGTCAGGACCCGACTGAGTCGCATAGGTTTATAGTGTCCTTTCGGTATAGTGGGTGATAGACGTACGAGGTTAAAAATCGCTGTTTTAAAGTTTGCGTTCTTATTCAGTTCGACGTCGGCGACTCACGACAGATTAGCTTATAAAGTTACGCGTAGTCGTCCACGGAGGAGATCTTGTGTTATTTGGGAATAATATCATATCACATTTTGAAAGCTAAAAAAAGAAGACAAAATGGGCGAGTGTGGGTGAAGAACTGGCTTACGAAAAGAGAGCGTTTATCACATGTAAATTTAGTAAGAGTGAAGAAAAGGAAGACTTTCGTAATTAATTAAGAATGTCCGTGTCGTTTTACGAAGAACTCTTGCATTTAGTTACACCTATAATAATTAAACAAGATACCTGCATGAGAGAAGCTATTTCATTTGAAACAAAATGGCGGCTCGTGACTCGCGTCGCTGACAGACATGCGAGCTGAGGCGGGCCACGAGCAAGATTTCAAACATGTTTGATCGCTTAGGGTGACATATGAGTGAAAAAGATCGTCGAGTCACTAGTACGCGTATTTACTCGTACGTCTATCACCCACTTTAAACCAAGAGGTTGATAGGAAGGGTCACTATAAACAAAACTCTTATAGAAAGATATGGGACTGTGTTAAAAAAAATCAGGACTGCAGAAGTTGGTCAGGTTTAATAAAATGTCATTTTGAATGAAACGTGACAAAAAAGAAATCTAAACAACGGTTGCGATATAAAAAGTTGAAAATAAATAACTTTATCTACACACATATCATAAACTCTCTACAATGTGTTCAAAAACCGAACTTATCGATAATAACATCGAATTAAATTTCGAACATCTCTGAAAAACAAAACAATATGATTTGACCTCAATTCTAATATCAATCGAGATGAAGTTTTATTTGAATGAAATGTCAATAGCAAACAATTTTGACAATTGCACGCGTTACTTGATATCGAACGATATGATAGTTGGGGCCGATTCTAGTTTGCCTATGTATTAAAAATAAAAACTACGGTTGTGTGACATGCGTGAGAAAAGTTTTTATTTGCCGCCATTTCGCCAGTCGTGCGGAACACATCACAGAGAGCTTATAATATGTGTGTAGATAAAGCAGTGTATGTAATTGTACATGATGATGCATTAAAACACTCGTGAGATGTTTTCACTCGTATTTTAGTGCCTTTCATTATGTAACAGTCACATAAACTACTATTATTTCCACAGGGAGCGTGATTCGAGGTTTCTTCACGATCCGCAAGAAGGACCCCTTGAACCGACTGCCGACTTCGTCCACATGCTTTAACTTACTGAAACTGCCTAACTACCAAAAACGAAGTACGTTACGCGACAAACTTCGATACGCTGTCAATAGTAACACTGGCTTTGAATTGTCGTAGTTGTGTTTTACATTTCAAGGTCATCGTTTCTTTACTGCGCACCCATCATCTGCAGGTATTTAAGCTACGGACAACCATTACGAATCAATGAATGTCTGATGTACGTACGTACTTTATTGTTACTTAAGTTTGTATATTTATAGTACACAACTGTTATTTACATTTCATAGGAAACCATATTGGTCGACACGGAATCGCATTAAACCACTTAGACAAAGCTTTTTGCACAAGCAACAAGGGCGACGTAATCCTAGGTCGGACGAAAGTTCAAGACGTCGGGGATCGTGTTATAGACCTAAGAGTCTATGCTACCTTAGTTTGAATCCAAATCCTTCCCGCACTAATACGGCTCGTTTTACGTGGAACGACCGGCTGGGACATCTGTTAAAAGTTAACTGTGCTACTATTCAACCGCCATTGCAATGATTTGATATTCAATGGTGAATCGATGGCGTAGTCTACTATTTCAAATAAAAAATACATTTAATTTGAATGCTGATTAAACGAGATAAAAATTAAGATATCGTCGCCTTACTTTCTCAAACTCGTATCTTAAAGTAGTGTTGGGTAGGACATGAAATTAAAATGAGTTTAAGGAAATACCTCATTTGAAAAAATGAAGCGGTATAATGTCCTACTTCAAATGAGGTGAGGTAGTGGTAAGAATGTTTGCACCTAAAGCAATGACTCAACAGACAGGGAATATTAAGCACATTTTCATAACTTGATGATATCAGTCAATTGGATAACTTAATATAGTATAAATAAACTCTAATTTTGTTTAGTACTATGGTAGTATGATCATATTGTGATGTGATCATTGTTGCATTTTGAATTCGAAGCAGTGTGACATGAGTGAGGCTGTGACATGAGATGAGGTGTGAGATGGAACATTTTTATGACATGAAGTGTTGTGACAAACTAACCAAGCGAGTGGTACAAACGAGTTGCCTCGTGTATGTGTAACTCAACGCTATCTTAAAGCACAAAGTTATTAAAATCCAAAAAATGGATTGTATACACAAATTTTACAGGCTGATTTCACGTCACATTTCCTTCATGTTCACACACTGGCTATTCTTAAAATAAGGAATCCAAATTGATAAGAAATTTTAAATAAATAGAAAGTCTTGCCATCTCATGAAGAGTGATTACTCTTCATATATGATACGAGTGCGAGAAAGTAAGGCATCGTTATGCGTAGTAAGTAGTACTTGGTAGTTTTAGTAAGGCAACGTCGACCGTTAGTAATTGAATGAATTAATGCCATCACTACCATTCTACTGACACTCTTTTGATATTCAACTGCCTTTTAGCAGACTGACAAACATTATCACTGTTGCAATATAATATCAGTGGTCGCGGTGGAATTGCAATAACCAGGTGGTTTCAAAAAAACAAATGCAAAACACACGTGTCTTTGTATCCGAGCGAAAGCGTATTTTTCGCTTTTATTGCATGGGCGTAAATCATTTTCTAACCACTTCAAGTCGATTCATCGTTAATAAGTCTAACTTCCTGTACGATTTTGTGGTAAGTGGCATAAAATTGAAATCTTAATTGTAAAGGTAGATACTTTGTATACTTGGTCCGGGTTTTGGAAGCTTTCATTCGTTTCAATGAATGATAGACTTCGCTTCCTGAACGAAAAATTTAATCCATTGTTTTTAGTATCCTCGTTATTAAGTAACGCGCTTCGGCTATTCGCATGAGTATACCTCGTGTATTCATTGAGACAAACTTTTACTTTACAAAATAACATAATAATATTGACAGCTGTTTCTTTCTTTTTTCAATATTTTTTTCCATTCATCATTCGTTCATTCATTCATTTTTTCAATGTCAAGAATAACAATGCAATCGTCAATTGTCGGAAAACTCGAATAGCTCCGAAGCTTGGACTTTAGGGAATTACCACACCAAATACGGCTTGAACTAGTCAGAAAAAGCTTATTTTATGTCCATGCAATAAGAGCGAAAATTACATTGCACATTTCGCTTCGAAAACTTTCGAAACTCACATCTTTTTCGCTCTTATGGAGATAAAGTATTTTTTCCGGCTTAATGCGTTACCGTGTTGATAAATGCAATCACCTCTTTAAAACATGGTACTGCACTGAAGACTATATTTTTACATAAAATCCTCCTTTAAGGTTTAAAGTCCGTTGCACTAAACTTGATTCAAAAGACACTCTTCAAGCATTAGTTTTCGACGTATTTAAGTTTAGTGCAAGTGGACATTGGTCTTTTTTGTATATGGAAAATTTGTCCACCAATAAAATGTTCTAAGTTCATAACAACAACGATATTAATTAAAATCTCTAATATTTCTTATTATAAAAATTATTCAAAATTAATCTCGATCTCGATTGCAATTGCGGTCCCAAAATTTGAATTGTTTATGACGCTTTACTTTTCACTACAAAACTAATAAATAAAAGTAAGGCCTTTTGATGTACCATTGCCAGAAAAGCAGTATCGATATATAGACCCGTGCCTCAGAGTGACTCGAGCAGTGGCAGTGCCCCTCAGATCTTTGTGATTTAAAGCACTGAGTAATACTGCAATTGTTATGGACAGGCGTGACACTTACCACCAGGTGGGCGACTCGATCGTCCCGTCACTTGGTCTCATAAAAAAATAAAAAGAAAAAATCCTTCTCTGATATTTTACGGCAAACGCCGTCACTTTCCATGAACGGGTTAAGCTACGTCATAGGGGTCTATTCCCGTTCTCCGTTCGATACAGTCCAAAACAGTTACTGTCAATTAAGTAATACTCGACCAAATCAAAAAACAATGTCAAGTATGAAGCTACATTCTAATGATGAAAGTGATTCAGTCTTTTAAGACCTTTTAAAAAACCTCGACTAATTTTCAACGCCTCACGACTAGTCTAGTCTTTTAACTAGAGGCGGCTCGTGGGAGACTTCAGTGGGATTTCACTTACCTATACATATTTTAAATAAAAAATGGAACTCACATTTTCGTGTTCCATTTTAAGTAACGCCACTAAACTACGCTTCTTAACAACGATTGAAAAATAACAATTTTTACAACACTTACACTTACTTACACTTATTTGCGCAGAGCGCCGCTCAAATCTTGCTAAATTTTCTCATACTAATATTTTGTTTCACGTCTTGCGCTGTTAAGAAATTTCTCTTTCGCACTCATAGAATTCAGTACTGCACTTTGTAAACAATGTCGGTTCATAGGAGCGCATCGCGAAGTGCTCCACTAAAGGGTCAGTATGCTATACTGTATTAAAGAGAAAGATAAAAATCTAATTGCGTTTGTCGTTCATTAATAAAAAAATACTGCGGCTACTAATATAATAAGAAAGCATAATTAATGAATTTATTTTGGTGGGTTGGATAGGAGTGGGAGTACACTGAACCAGCGCTCCTAAGGACGAGCCGCCTCTGCTTTTAACCCTTAAGTCCTGAGTCATAAGACTAAAACTGAAGACTAATTCGAGTCGAAGTCTTTTAACCCTAGGAAGCTTAAGGACTAAAAAGACTAAAACGACTGGCGCCTCATGAGCCGTATGGCGTGATTTTATTTCTACCCACAAGGTATTTAATTTACGATTTTTATTATAAGTAAAAAAACATGATTATTTACTACATACTACTTACGTCATTTTTATTTATAAACTTGGGGTTTAATAAGACAAACATTATCACTGTTGCAATATAATATCAGTGGTCGCGGTGGAATTGCAATAACCAGGTATAAAATAGGTATAAGTCCTTTGCAAACAACTCAAGACGTTTAAGTCTTTCAAGTCGTTTAAGTCTTTTGAGTCTTTTAGTATAACGACTGAGCCTTATTAATAAAAACTCGAACCACCAGTCTTAATTTTAGAGTCGAGTCCTGTAAAATGCAGTCGAGTCGTTGTAAAACGCCTTAAAAGACTGAGTCTCTTTCATCACTACTTTATTCGCATCATGCGTTTTTTAACTTGGTCGAATATTATTTGAGAGTAAAGTTTCGGACGAAGTACGGGAGTAGATCCCCAGAGCCGTTATTATATTCTAACTATAAGCAGGGTCTTATTCCCTTGAAATGAATCTTAGATGCCCATAAATGTCTTAATATAGCTGAAGAGGCAGTAATTACAAATTAGTTTTCTCTACAATGCAACAACTATTGTTATTTAAGCCCACTTTTGTGGTATGCAACATAATTAAGCCTGCGAAATTTTTGTATACCAATCAAGTCTACAATGTCTGGTTTAACATTGCAGCCTTTTCTAATTGTGTCGATGTGTACCCGCTTTTCAGAATGTTAAGTACCAACGCCTGCCTTTTGTATTATGGCAATAAGGCACTAAAAACTTTTGCTTTTTTAATTTGATCAGGCTCTTCTTCGTAAAATTTTCAATCGGTAAAATTTTTTTAACTAATGTAGATAGGAAGCGTATACCTTTAATTCGTGACGGTAGCAAATAGATAGCAATTATTGGTAATAGATACTTCTGAAAAATCTGCTACCTTCATGCTGAACAAAGTGACGACCAGCCACCCTGATGTCAGAATGGCTTGTCAATTATTTTTTTTTATTTCTCAGAATATATCAAAGGTAGCAATTATTTAGAAAAGATAGCAAATAGTAGCAAATAGATAGCAATTCTTGAATATACACTCAGTGCCAGATGCGACAGGCGACCAGCCATCCTGATGGTCACAATGAAGCTTCATACTTGACATTGTTTTTTTATTATGTGGAGTATTACTTATTTGACAGTAATTGTTTCGGATATCGAACGGAAAACGGGAGTACACGTCCTGTTTTAGTACTAACTGTAGCTATCAGCTCTAAAGTGGTATAACCGACATTCAATGTTTTTTTTTCTACTATATAACTAAATTATACTAGTTTCGCTTTAGTAAAATTTAAAGTAATATTGTAGAAAAAAAAACAAATACGGGTTACACCACTTTTGAGCTGACGGCCTCAACTATTCATACCATTGACACATATATACATAATATACTTTGTATATAATGTCGTGGTTTGTCACTAGTTCATTAAATAATAATTATAAATTATTTTAAGAAATTGCAAAGCCTTAAAATCTATTTTATTTAAATTTTATTAAATTCATATTCAATTATTTTTATGTGAAATTACTCCACTAGTTTGTTATAATTATTCGTCTTCTAGCTAGCATACCGTGCCAGAGGTATGTTAGAAGACGTCGGTTCGAATCCGGCCGGATCGAAGAATTTTTTCTGAGTATTCAATTTTTGTATTAATAATTATAACAATCTATTTTATTTTCCGACGAACGCTATTTTTTTTCAAAACACTAACACAATGTCCATGGATGCTTAAAAGCCATAACCACCCCTAGGAAAAAATAATGTCTTCGTACCCTTGGTATAATAAAGCCACATATGATCAGATCTCATTTATCACAATCACAGTCTTGAAAATAATAAAAATTGCATGAAACAAATTACGTATGTGAAATTTTGTACCTCGCTATTTAGGGAGTCTAGCTTTATATCCATAGAATAAGAGCGTAGAGACATGCGTTTCGCT